ACCTTGATCTATGGTACATCTGCTTCCAGGCAGGATCTAGAGGAGGTAGAGTATCTCTGACATAGAAAGGGATAAGGGGTTCATCCACCCTCTCATGCCCAAGCCCAAGGGGAGCAGCTCACATGCCTCCACCTTTCCTCTCCTTCCAACATCAGCATCAGGACCACATCTGTTCCCACAGCTGCAAAGGTTTGCTGCCATGGCTGAGGACATTGCCCATCCCAGCACAGCCAGAGTCCGTGTCTCTGCCCTGGCTTCCCCTACCAATGGCTTCACTGGTGTCATTGTGTCCCCTGACATTTCCAGGGCTTACCCTGACCCTGTGTGCCCACAGTACATGGTGATGGGGTGCAGCTGGATGGGGTATCCCCCTCCTCTCACACTCTAGCGCTGCTCTCCCCTTGCCCCACCAGCTGGAAAGTCAGTCTCCACTCACTTTCTTCATAAAGGTCCATGGATGCAAAACTGTATTCACATGCACATAATTACCAAGCTGGGTATTTTCTCCTCTTAATTAGCAGTGCCGTAGTGCTTTAATTGTTTGATTAAAGTTGCCCACAAGGAAGGTTTAAGGTACATTAAATTTGCTGATTGGTTCATCAGCATGAATCGCACCAACTGGAAAACATTAACTGGCTTCCAGATTGCTAACCAGACTCTCCAGATCCATTTCCACCAGCCATGTGCCACAGGAGGCAGAGAGAGCCCAGTGGCAGAGGAGTCCATCCATGAGGGACCAGCAGTCCTGCTCCGATTCCCATCTCTCCTTCAGTTTGGGAGCTGAAGGGGAAAGGGTCCAGGCAGCAGCAGCATTCCTCTCTTCTCCTTGTCCAGAGGACACATGCCGGTTTTTTTGGCTGCAGCAGAGCTGAGTAAAGTCAGGTCCTGGTTCAGCCACACACATCAGATCCCACATTTGGTAGCTGTTCTCGCTTGGCCCTGGCAGGCTATGAACACCTGCCCTGGTGTGCAAATGGGTTGATGGAGCAGCAGCAGCCAAATTGCTGCTCCCTCATCAATGTTTTCCAGCCAAAGACAAGTGCCAAGCTGAAGCCCCTGACACTGCAGAGGGAAAGCAGCCACAGCAATCAGGATACCCAGAGGTTAAGATGCCTGGTCCCAAACTTTTGACAAAAATGTCTGAACCACTCCTGAAACCCATGGATCTAGTGCAAAGATGCTCTTTGGGAATGGCATTTCAGCCAAAGGCTCATCCACCCACTCTGACAGCAGGGAACAGGGCCTGTCCTTTCTGTTTTACCCTTTTTCATTTGTTCATTAAAGAAAATGCTTTCTGGGAGATTCTGTGCTGCTGGAGGTCTCCATGTCCAGTGGCTGCCTGGCTGCATGGGTTTGTGTCAGCTTCCAGAGACCAGCACCATGATCCATAGCTGTGGGACTGCTCCTGATGCTCCAAACCAACTCTGTGTACAACTCACATTCAGCTGAACAGACTTTTGCCCAGCTCTCCAGTTTTGCTCACGGGTAGCTGGTGACAAATGCAGCCCAAGGAATAATTCAGATCTGCCCCAAAAGGCTTACCCTGATGTAAGAACCACAGACCCAAAGCCACCACTTCTGTGGTGGCTCAGAAGCCTGGCAGCCCTCCCCAAACAGGGTTTGGCCACGACTGGTCAGAGGGTTATGGTGGGAGAGTCACCGTTCTCACCTGCCTGAGCATCCCTGTGCACCTCTCCATCATCCACAGGATGTGGTACACATATCCCAGCTCCCAGCATCACAGCTGCTGGAGGAGGTGGTTTATAGGTGTTTCCCTTCTCACAGAAGCAGAACAGAACCAGGGTTAAAGTGCTCCCCTTTCTCATTTCTTTAATTGCACTGACCTTATTGAAATGGGTCTCTGTACATCCTGTACAGCAGCTGCATATAAATAAGGTGTATTATGCTGATTGTCTTCTTATCTGATAAACTGCTGGGACAGATCCTTTTTGCTTATGCTATTGCTTATTCTGCTATTTAGGCAGAGCATTTGCTATTTGCTGTGTGTGAGAGATACTAACGTGTCTTGCTGCGGACTGATGCATTTCAAGGAGGAAAGAGCAGCACATCCGAGGCTGGCTGTGGATGTGGGGGTGAGGGAAGCAAAGTCCTTCAGAGCCCTGGAAACAGAGGGGAAAAGGAGTGAGGCAGCAGGGCTGTGCTGCCCTGGAAGAGATCCTGCAGGGGTTCATCCTTGGGGGTGGCGGTGACAGAAGATGCCATGGGACTAGAAGCTGGGAATTTTAGGAACTGGCAGATCCCAGCACCCCATCAGCAGCTGTGGCAATTCACTCTCAAACCTGGCTTCTGCCCAGTTAAGGCACTGCAGCACCTGTGCCCAGCCATGGCTGGAAAAGGGCTCCTGTGCCTCTGAAGATAAATGAGGCAGATGCAGGAGGTGCAGATGCAGGAGGTACAGATACAGGGGACAAATGTCTTGTGCGATGCAGGGCTGTGACATGTTTGATGCCAGGTTTGGTGGCATCCTTAGCACGGTCCTGACCCCGCTGCCCCTGCGCTGAGATCTGGTCCCTCTCTCATGGACACTGCCCCTCACATCCCTATAGCAAACACCAGGACACCACAGCAAGATTAAATGTGTGGATCTCACCAGGGTAAGTGGATCCCAGCCACCACCCTCCTGCCTAAAAAATGGGGCATCCAAGGTGATGGCTGACAGTAAAGGGGACAGGAGGCAGAGAAGTTCCCCAGGTTCCTACATATCCTCCACCACATCCCACCTCCCCCTGTCCTTCCCAGCTCTCTGGCACATCCCTCCTCTTCTGAAGGGCTGGGAACAGCTCTGGCCATGATATGGTTTCCTGAGCGCTCTTCCATCACTCTGGCAGGTCCTTAGAAAAATGAACGTTAAATAGGAGGGAGAGAAACCTCCACTGTTCAAACATCTTTAGCTTTGACAAATAAGGCGTCCGGCTGTGAAAGGCGGAAGGAAATTAATTTGGAATCACATTTTAAACACTACCATAGAGGCAAAGTATCTTCTCTCTAATTTTTTCCCCCCGAGCAAAAAATGAATTTCCCTGATATTTATAGAAAGATTATTAGGGCCACAAGGAGTGATTTATATCATCTCGTCCCTGTGACGGAGAATGAAAAATTGCTGGAGCGACAGCCACTGGAATCCTGCTTTTGTCCACCTGACAATTAAAACGGCTAATTTCCAACTCCAACAGATCTGCTGGGGTTATAAATCATTCCGGAAAGGCACTTTTCACTGTGAAAAATGAACTCTGCCCCAATCAAGCAGAAGAAGCTTAGATCAGAGATTAGCATCTGTTTGCTTTTGTGTGTAAATATATCTACCCCTGCTCCACACCCACCCAGCAAAGGAGATGCTGGGAAGGAGGTGTTGCCCCTGCTCGCTTGATGCTGGGCTATCAAACTCCACATGCTAGGAGCTGTATAAATGGGACAGGGAAGGCGGAAGGGCGAGATGACACTGCAGAGAAAGCGCAGTGACATTTCTGTCCCATTTCTAATGCCACAAGCCCTGGAGAGCTTCACTGGAGAGCATTGCTGTTGAGCAGTATGGGTCTGGGTGTCTGCATGCTTGTGTTCACCCCATCTGGGAGGCAGGTTGGACCACGCTTCCTCCTGTGCTGCACCTATGAGTAGGGGCAATTCCACCAGAAAAGGGCAGGAGGGCAGAGAAGTTGCTTTCACACAGCTTTGCTCTCAGGAGAAACAAATGTGTCCAAGGAAACACAAGAAAATGAGGGGGGCTGAGCACAGCACGGATGCCAGGGCTTCCCTCAGCCTCCAGGCTTTGGGGTGGTGACCACAGGAGGGGGAATACAGGGAAGAGGTGTCTGGACCTTCTGAACCAAATCTCCAATTCACAGGTCCCTGCAGTCGTGGGGCTGGGACTCAGCTGTCCTGGCAGCCCATGTCAGTGCCCTCTTACACAGCAGGACATGCCTGGCCCCATGCACCCACTCTTTAATGTGGGACTCTTTCTGAATTATCAGCTCTATCTCAGGATGACTTTCAAATCAGTGGTCGCAGGCTGGAGGAGTTTTGGATAGAAGCATTTATTCTTCCTGTCCTTCCCACTCTGCATAGCTGAGGATCCACTGGTCCCAGCGGCGCCTGGATCCATTCCAGTCCAGCATCGGACGTCCTAACCTTGCGTCAAGTCTCCCTAAGACAAATGCTCCACTTGACGTTTCCATGAAACTCAAACAAAAGCCCCGCACTCTTATTTGTGCTGCTCCCCTCATCGCCTCCCATAAAGAAACCGAGAGCAAACAAATCTGTGTGGAGGGCTCTCACGGGGAGCCCCGAGCTCCATGCTCTGTACACACACATCCCCGTGCCTGGTGCACGGCTGCTGCTGGTCACCCCGCTTCCTTATCGCAGTTTGTACAGTCGGCAGCCTAACGTCTGCCCAGCGGCACACAGGGCCCCCAGGAAGGCTCTCTGCACCCTCGGATGGCAGGGCTCTGCGGCAGCCCTGGGGGGGGGATGATGGATGGATGTGATAACCTTGCTTCGTTAAAGCTCAGTGGTTTTCTTTTTGCTTTCCTTGCTTTCAAACACCCTGGCAAGGGGGTGAGAGTGGTGGGGCACTTTGGAGAGGCCAAGTTGTGCTTTGCTGGAGTGCACCAGCAGAGATCTCAGCACCAACCAGAGCTGCTGGGCGCACTGGGCTGAGACCTCTGGGCCACGTGCTCCACAGTAGCAGATGATGGAGCCAGGGCAGTCCCTATCCCAAAGTCAGCTCCCATCCCAAAGCCATACCCTGTGCACCAGGACCTGTCACTGTCAGGCTCGCAGGAGCTCCCAAGGAGCTTGCTGGTGCTATCACCAACACATTTTGGAAGCACCAAGCAAACAGCAAAGGAGTCCTTGGCCTCCACAAAGAATGGCTTTCCAAGTTTTCATGAGCAGGCGTCTGCCCTAAGCCCTTCCCCAAAGAGGCAAGAGCCCCTTTGCGGCCATCCCTCCCCTTGCAGGCACCGCAAGAAGCAGGGACTCACCCATGCAGGAATCTCGCTGCTCTTCGTAGCCAGCACTGCACACGCACTTTCCAATGGGCACCAACCATTCTCCCTCAGCACTGCAGTACATTTTTGGTGTGTCCCTTTCCTCCGAATGGCCCACGCATTCTCCCCGCACTTCCACCAAGGAGGACGAGTCCGCCCCAGTCACAGCCTCGGAGAAGGACGCCAAGTTCCTCACCATTGCCGGACACTTCTTGTAGTACACCCGCACCGAAACGATGGCGATGCAAGCGCCTATGTCCTGGAAGGCCAAGTAGAAACCCCTCTTGCTCAGTGGCCCCACACCCCGCACCTCTGTGTTCAGTTTCAGCCGCCTCACCCCCAGGTCCACATTGGTGAAGCTCTCATCAGCTGCGATGGTGTCGATCTTCATGAACTGGCTCTCCCGGGTGCTGGTGCCCAGGTCCCGGTCAGACTCCAGGTAGTAGAGGTTGAAAGTCTCTTTGCAGGTGCCCAGCACACCCGGCATGCTGTTACAGTCCCGCAGCGTGAATTTAATCTCTGCATAGACCCGCCGAGCACCGTCACGTTGAACCCAGTTGGTCCGTAGCCAGTTGTTCTGGTTGGGGGTCATGACATTACAGACCTGGTAGGTGTGGATGGGGCTGAAAAACTCATCCATTTCATTGATCGAATCCCACTGTGGGGCAGAGAGAGAACAGGTCATTCCAGGTGTCCCTGGACTCAGGGCATGCAGGACTCTGTGCCATCACCCACCCCGGGGTGAATTCCCTCTGCTCCTGCAGCCTGGATGAGAGATCACTGCTGCCACTGCCCAAAGGAAAATGAGGAATGCTTGCACAAGTTTAATCTGATGGCAGAACCTGGTGGCAGTGTGTGTTTGGGAGGGCTCCAAACCCTCCCCACCATGTCTGTACGTCCCTTTTCTTGGTGTTCAACCTGCCATTCACAGCAGCAGCGAGAAGGCAGCTGCATGGTGCTCACCTGGGTCTCTTCTGGCTCATGCAATCTCCATGCCCAAACTAAACAGATCACTTTCCAGCTGGAGAATGAGTTTTGGGGTGCAGACCTAGGGTGAAGGGGAAGCATGCAGTAAACACAGGACTTTCAGCAAGAAATGAGGGTTCGCGTGGGTTCAGAGCCCACTTCTTCCCAGGTGAGGTGAGGTCAGTGTGGTTCTTTGGTGTGAGCCCAGATGAAAGGCTGAGCTGGGGGCTGGTCTTGGGAACCCGGGGGCTCACAGTTTGGGCTAAAATTCAGTGTAGCAGTGGCAGCAAGGTGAGCCTGGAGAGGAGATGCTGGGCAAAAGCAGGTTGCAGCAAGGAGGATTTCAATGGAGGGTTGGTCTGGGTGTGTTTAGAGGGACAGGGACATTTGTGTCATCCAAAGGGGGATGCCAAGTGGTTGTGATTGGTGAGAAGTGAGAAGAAGCAGTGAGATTTTGCATACGTATGATCTCGATGGTTGAGGGACAAGTTGTTGGAGGCTACAGGAACACTACTGGAGGGTCACTCTCGCCTCACATGTCTTCATGTCCACCTTCTCCAACCTCACCAATCCTCACCAGGACCCACAGACCTTTCCTTCTCTGGGGACTTCCCACCACCTGTGCAGCTCACATCCCTCTCCAAACCAGGCACCCCAATCGCATCTCCATGGACAAGTCTGGAACCCCTGAATTCTTCTTATGGGAGAAGGAGGAGAAGGAAGAGCAGAGGAGGACTTCAAACCTTCTGACATTTCCCTGGTCTTATAAACAGGCTTTGAAGATGCCTGAGTCCCATCACCATGCCCAAATCCAGCAGCAGCCCCAGATGCAGCCCTGCAGAATGTGGGGAAGGTGCTGGCACCTCGGTAGCTCTTGCTGCTCTGCCCACAAAACCACTGCCCTGCAGAGCCTCAGCAACCCCTGCCTGCACTGTCTTTGGGTTTCAGCTTTGCCTGTGCTGCTCTGATGGGGCAAAAATGGTGTTTTCTTATGCAAGTGGTGAGCTGTGTTTCATTACAGACACAAAACCAGCAGCAGATCAGAGAGAAAGAGTCTGATGCTCAGCTCAGTGGGGCTGAGCGTGAAGACTTCACCCCAGTGACCGTGGGAGCTGAGGAGGATGCAGACCTTCTGGACAGGCACCAGACAGCTTCGCTACGTGGCTGCCAGCACTGTAAGGACAGGACATGGCAAGCGGAGGGCCTTGGAAAGAGGTTACCACTGATATCTGTAAGACAGCCCGCTCCTTTCTCCCCTCTCAGATGGGAAAGTCCTTCCTCATTTAACCTCCTTGACCCTCAGCTCCTGGGAACTAGGTGTTGCTGTGCCTCCTGCCAGTGCCAGGGCAATCAGAGCAGTCATTTCAGAGATGTACATCTTCAAAACTCCCCTAGCATCTTTGCATTTAGGAGAAAACTCTGCTTCTTACTCCTAAAGAGCATAAAGCAACCTGGAAAAGGCGGCAGCTCCAGGAGCAAACTTCAACAAAAGCTCATTCAGAGGGGAATACGCTGGCGAAGGGTGTGAAAGTCAGCTCACTGCCAGGAGAGAAAAATATTTCTGGCACTTTTAAAAAAATTGTCTTCTGAACTCCAGAAATGCTGAGGTTCATCCTAGTTCCTAGGGTCACTGAAGACCTGTTCTGCACCCCAGCATTCAGGCAGACAGCAGGGAACCAGACTACCCATGCCCTTTGCATCTCTCTTAATCTGCCTCAGCTTCCTCAGCCGCAGAGATGAGCCCGTAGGAAGTGCTGTGACACCCAGGACACACTCCTGCCGCCTGGCCAAGGGGCACAGGGGTGCCCTGAAGTGTGTGCAGCAGCTGGCACGGCACAGCTCCCTGCACACCCCTGCGCCGGGGCCGGCGGGAGCCAGGCAGCTCCCTGCTCCCACATCAACGTGTGCACACACCGTGGCGCTGCGGAGGGTGTGGAAGTCGTTGTTGAAATTAATCGAGCACAAATTAACACAGCATCTGTTTCCTGTCTTTTCCCTGCTGAGTTCCCGGGGGGAAGTGGAGCAGAGCTGTGCGTGGGAGGAGACACGGGGGCAAGGGCAGAGCTGAGGATGATGAGCAACGATGCTCCCCCCAGCTCCCCTGCAACGTCAGGGCTATCCAGGAGCGCCCAGCAGGGGAAATATGGGGTTACTGTGTGCACCAAAATGCCTTGACCTCCAGCTAGTGATTGCTTTGAGTCTCCAGACTTTCACCTCTCTCCCAAATCTGGCAGAGGAGATGGTGCTCATCACTGCTGTGTCCCCACTGCTGTGGCACTACCAGAGGTGGCAGCATTCGCACTGCTGGCAGAAAGCAGGGAGCTAAATGTCCATCTCCAGGCACCGGTGATGGTTGGCATCAACTGCAGGGGTCTGCATGAGCAGCATCACTGTCAGAGTTGGTGCTTTTTTGCACAGTGGCTGAACTGCCAGCTCTTTCTCAGGGTCATACACAGCATCTTGGGTTTGAGGCCAGCCCAAAACACCACACCAATACCACTGGCCTTCAGGGCTAGTGCTCTGCTGTCAGTGGAAATGCGTGGAGAGAAGGCAGGCCACCTGAACTGTGGCTTGGGTGCCACAGGCAGGTCTTCCCAATGTGCCACAACACAGGTCCCACAAGCTCTGCCGAGTCCCAGGACCTGCTGGGCACTTGGGACCAAGGTACCCACCTCAGGAATCCCATGACTTGGAGAGTTTTTCTGTTTCACCTTAATTACGAGGTGTTATGGCCAGGGAGAGGAGTCTCTGATGCTGGGTACCATTGATTCAAGAGCACTGGCACTGTGCACACACCCAGCCTCCCAACATTGCCTGCTCTTGGCTGATGGTTTGAAATGGCTTTTATTAAACGAAGCTCAGCCCGGCCCTCATCATTGCGATAAGATCCCCTAGCGAGACGGAAATGAGGACATCATAATTAATGTAGTGAGTGCATGCATTGGGGGGGGGGGGCTTGATTGCATCTGTATTCAGGAGCTTGCCTAATCGTTTAAATTAAAGTCAACACCAGTTATAAAAAAATTTGCCAGATTATGAAAGGCGAAAGATGCAAACAGCAGATATCTGGGCGGCTGAGCAAGGTCTTAGCAGTCTCCCAGGGCCTGTGCAGCACAGCAGAGTGGGGAGGAGGAGGAGAAGTGGAGGAGGTGAGCACACAAGGAGAGACCAAGTCCTCCTGGAGCCACAGCTCAGCCTCTCACCATCTTTGTGGTGCCCATGGAAGGACAAGGTCTCCCCAGCCTTGGGATGCTTCCAGACAGGAGGCCAGGTCTACCTAGCACAAAAAGCTTTCGCTGCTGATGGGACATCCAGCACTTTCCTTCCTCCCAGGAGCAAGCACTGAGCTACAGTTCCTGCCCAGGAGCTGCCGAGTCCCTCGCACCACTGTCACTGAGAGAGAAAAGAAAGAGAAGGATGTTATTGCAGCTATAAATCATTAGATGGGAGGTGTTAATGGAGATAATCCCCATGAAATCAGTCACTGCTATGGCTAAGGAGGGATTTGTCAGGCAGTTAACTACCCTGAGCTTCACTGCAGGTGATTAACTCCTGGTAGTGACCAGCGTCTGGGGAATTAGCAATAACCCAGCATTTACTGAACAAGCACTGTGAGATGAGCTTTTATCTCAATTACTAGTTTAAATCTTTATTTTCTGATGTTTCATTCCTACCCATCTTTTCTTTTCAAAGAAAATTAGTTTCGCTGCAGCTTGCCCTCTAATTTGCTGGTATTCCTGGATCCAGGCAGAGCCTCTGGATTGGAAAAGAAACCCAACAAATAGCACAAGGACTTCAAAGTGACAGAGGGCAGAAGACATGGCCTGGGCAGATGAGATAGCCCCTCTTTTGGTGTTCTGAGGAGACAGATGTGAACCCTCCTGAAGAGGGTTCAAATGGCAAGCATGAAGCACAGCTTGGGCTGGAGACAGGGTTTTTGCAGGGTGGCCCTGACCCTGCTCTGTAAGAGAGCTGACAGGGGTGACACTAACAATGTCAGGTGAGGTTTATCCCAGCCATGAACTGGATTTTGGCTGCAAGATCAGAGCCAGGCAAAAAAAAGTCCTCTGCTGCTTAGGCTTTGCTCTGTAAAGAGTTCAGTGCTGGGGTGTTCACAGCAGCACTGTACACCAGCACGAGATCTCCATCCCTGATGCAGAAACATTGCTGAGAGGCTATTCTGCAGGCAGAAATGTGTCGTCTGTGCTCTCAGGTTGTTTAAGAAAATCTGACTCCTTTCTGCCAGTTTCCTCTCTGCACTACTTGCAGAATGAAGGGAGAAGACCCTTGGCTCATCTTTATCTTAGGATACATCCCTTTACCAGCAGCAGAGAGGCAGAGGTGGGGAGGTGCAAACCACCTCTGAAGGTGTTTCCTGGTGCTCAAAGCCAGCATGGAGCATGGCAGGCAATGGGGCAGCTGCCTGGGTGGCAGATGCCCAGCAGCTCTCTGGCTGACCCCAGCCCACACAGCCAGGGGAAAGCTGAGGACCAGACCACAGAGATGCTGGTGGGGGCAGATGGGGAGGTCAAGGGCAGCACGGGGGGCCTTTCTCCATCACTTAAGGTGCTCCCATTATAATTAGGTTTTGCAAGGCATCATTCAAGCTCCTTAGATACCCCGTGTCTGAACAAAATCATTTCCTGTTTGACTTTGTAAATCAAAGTAGACGATACAATAATTATTAATAATATGTTGACTTATCTCATCAGCGTTTTAATTAGTCAGTAGAAAAGCAATTTGCAAAGGGGCTGATCAGGCTCCCTCTGATCCAGCAGGTCACGTGCGAGCAAGGAGAGGGAAGAGAAGGGCACTGGGGCACTGGGACATTTTGCTGGAGAGAGCTGGGAAACGGGAGGCACAGAAGGGAAAGGGGCAGCCTCTTTGACAGCACCGATAAGAGTTTAATTTTCAATGCAAAGGGAATTGTTCTGGGGATGGAGCGGGCTGCAAAGCTCCTGGGAGCCCTTTGAAGTTATAATTGAGAGGAGCCGCAGCCTGCGGGACAGGGATGCTCCGGTGACCCTTCCGCTTCCTGCACGTGTCTCCAGGCTGAAGGTGAGGGGGGGGATGCGATTAAACCCCTGAGCGGCAATTACAGCAAATTACCCCTCAGTTAATTGTTTGGCAAGAAGAAATGTCAAAACAGGCCACACATGCCTCCCTGATGGCTTAACACTCCCCAGGGCCAACGGTGCTGCTGACCCCCACTGTGCCCATTGCTCCCAGCCCCCTGCTCCTCTGCCCTTGCTGCCCGCAGCAAACCCAGAGAGGAAAAACAGAAAACAACCTCTCTGTGAGGTGAGGTCACCCTTCCCACAGGTATGATGAAAACATCAGGGCTTCACAAGTGGTACCCTTCCTGTTTTGCACTGCTGATGCTTTGGGCCCTTGCCCTGGCTGTGCAGGCAGCTCTGGCATCTCCCAGTCCAGAAGAGGAAACCTCTGAGGCTGCTGCCTTTCCTTTGGCACCTCCAGGATTCCAAGGAAGGTGGGACAGGACCTGCAGCTGCTGGAAAAGCAAGCCATAGGGCACTAGGGACTAAGCTAGCAGGCACGAGTCCTCTTCTTATGTCCTCAATCTGGGAAGTGGGGCTCTGTGCTGCTTAGTGCCATGCAAAAACCCAGTCACAGTGACCCCCCTCCCTGCTGTCACCCATGTGGTGGCCCAGGGCTCATGCAGGGCAGTGGAGATGCGAGTAAAGTGAAAATAAGCGTGACTTCAGCTGGGGAGCCACAGCCAGCATCTCTGTCCCTTGGCAGGAGGATGCTGTGATGGATGTGTCTGTCCATGGATGGAGCTCCTGCACCCTCCAGCACCCAGCGCACGTTCCAGCCATGGCTCAGGCAGGACAAGCAGCAAGGGAGGAGGGTGCAGGGGGCACACTGCCACCTTTTTTTTTCCAGCAAGAGTACCTGAATTAAGGGAACAGCAGCAAAAATAAAGGACCTGAAATAAAACATGTCTTCACAGTACATCACCTCCATACTACACCGGCAACTGGGGTCTGCCCAGCCCACGGCTACCAAATCATTGACACTGAGAATGAGTGTCCTACAACAGCTTCCCTGCAACACCAGCACCCTATCTCACCTCCTTTCTGGTGACAGCAACAGGATCCAAGTGCAAATTTACTACTCAAAAAGCACCTGGAGCTCAGGGACCAGCAGAAGGGGAAAGGAATCAGATGCTCTTTCAGGATGATGCAATGCAATGGCCCATGGAGGAAGAACAAGTCCAGACAAGCGTTCAGAGGAGCCATTAAAACATCCAGATGGAAAAAGATATGCAAAGTTGTTTGTGCAAGAACGTCACATTGAAACCCAGGCACCATCCTTGAAGGTGTTCAAGGCAGTTTTCACACAGCTGTATGGCCATCCTGCTGGTAACAAGGCCACAGTTTGGACAAAAGCACAGAGTAAGCAAGGAGTGATCTTACCCCATGACTTACCTAGGAGGACTCAGCAGCATGTCCAAGAGGTGGCTTTGGTGTTAGGTGTTATACAATCTTATTTCTTTTTATTTTTTTGGCAGCCACTATTAACTATTCTTAATAAACATCACTAATAAGGTGGAGACTTCAGACATGTATTAGGGTTCAGGAGTTGCTGGGCTGCTGGGCGTCAGTGGTGGCTGCCTTGCAAGCCAGCCCCAGCACCCCGCAGTCACATAACACATGACAGCCCTAATGGGTTGAGACCCAGCACTCATCCTCTGGATGTACAATGCACGGTGCTGCACCTTAACCAGTCACAGAAGTCCCTGATGTGGTGAGAAAGAGTAGGATCAATCCCTTGTCTGCTGTGGGAGTGTAAGATTCTGCCCAGTCATGCCCATGTGTCCCCAGGACAGCCAGCTCTGGTGGATTCATCTTCATCCAGGTAACCTAGCAGTTGTGATGGATCCCGTCTGCATGTCTGACAGCTGGCAATGGGCCTGGGGATGTGGTCATACAGGCACCTGGAGAGCTGGACTCATGGTGGAGGATCCAGAAGAAGGGTCTTGGGCAGTCTGCCAGTGGTGGAGGGTCTGACTATGGGGAGGAATTGCTTAGGATGCAGTGAAGTGGACAGAGGTAAATGGCCCTCTCTCCCAGAGACATCCCAGAAACATCCCAGCAACATCCCAGAAACATCCTCCCTCCCAGGGGCAGCCTGTGCATGGCCATGAAGAGGACAACATCCCCCTCACCTGGGCAATGGCAGAAGAGGGTCCTGTGGCTGGAAATCGAAGGCAGGCAAACTCACATAGCAACGGGTTTTTAACAGCAACCTGTTAACAACATCGCTGCAGGACCCAAAGGATTTACCACCACTGGCAATTTTGTAGTCGAGGATTTTTTTTCTAAAAGCTGGGCTTTTCTGAGATGCGAGTGGATTGACAGGTCTGAAGGCCTGTATTTATGCAGGAGATCACTTCACATTAGCTCTGCGGTCCCCTCTGACCTTGTACCTCTGAATCTATTACATTTCCAGGATAGTCATCACTGCAACAGCTAACTGCTAAAATTAGAGCTGAGTTAATGATTTAATATATTTACATATATGATAATGTCTGATATAAATCTGATCATTGTTGTTATTATGAATTCATAGTCCTGATCGCTCCCGCTCAAACAGCGCAGGGACTGAAAGTCTCAAGCAACAGATCAATGAAAATGATTAGAGGCCTGGGAAGATTTCTGTAGGAGGTGGAATTGAAAAGATTAGGACCGTTTAGTTCAGAGAGGGGATGAAAAAGAGTGGACATGAAAAATCAACACAGCAGTGAGAGCCAGGTAGGCACCCCAATTTTGCACGTTCTGTGCATGCAGCAAGCCCCACTGTGCCTTGCAGTTGGTCCACTGTGTATTTATGGGATTGTTTCTGTTCACTAAATGAATGAGCAAAATCCTTACAGCCAGGTCACCGCTGCCATCTGAAACTCACAATTTCCAGAAAGCTGCTGCAGCAGGAAAACCTGGACATGGAAATGCAAGCAAAGGGAGCAGGCAGAGAGGATCCAGCCAGTAGAGATGACAGATGCACATGGGGGTCACTGCCCCTACCTCCCTCCCAGCCACTGCACAGGGCTGTGCATTTACATCTCCATTCCCTGTAAGAAACCATCTACAGGGGATGCTTTCCCTGGCCCTCTTGCCTAGTTCTCACAGCAAACTCCCCTGATCACAGGTGGTTGAGAGCTTCCCCGTCATTTTGGGCTGTTCCTTCTGACTCCCTCAGGAATGAAATGCTTCCCAGCGTGAGTGCCCATGGGGCAACCCCACTCTTGAGTTCTCTCAAAACTCAAGACCTGATGACAACCTGGTCCCGACCAAGGGACGTGGAGAGTTAAATGGCATTTCCAAACCAGCCACATCTAGTCTTTCAGGCTGGCATTTTCCCAGCAGTCATGATCTCTTTGCCCCATCAGCACTGACCAAGGCGCCAACCTGGGTCTGAGATGTCCATCCACCCTGCCCACAGGGATCCATGGTGACCAGTCCCACTGGGGTCCCCCTTGTGTCAACAGCTGCTTCATACTTACCCCATGCGAGGGATAAGTCATCCAGCCCCAGTCCCCCGGGATCGTTGACGTGTCTAGCAAGTTCACTGGAAAACACAGGAGCAAAATGTTATGTTAGAAAGCTTTCTCCCTGTCCCCGAGGGGCGAGGAACCGAGTCACCACAAATGACCCCTCCTGACACCTCACTCTCTTGATTGTTCCTTTCACCCATGAGTCCATGGGGCTGCTGCCAGGGACCTGCCTGGCTGCAGCTGAGGCAAGGGGATGGCAACAAATGGTGCTCTTCAGAGCTGCTGGTTTGGGGTGGAGCTGGGCTGGGTCTGTGTCAGTCCTGGCCATAGGACTGAGGGCAACGTGTCCTTTTGGAGAAGAGGCAGCAGCACACAGGAGATTGGAGGGGATGCAGAGCAGGTCAGAGGGGGTACAAAGCAAGAGGGAGCTGGGGAAACAGACTGCAAGCATCAGGTTGTCCACCAGTCCTTTGTCAACCCTCAGCCAACATGGATGCAACAGGAGCACTGATCCTCTCTTGGACACTTCTCTGCAAAGCCCTTTTAGGATCACATCCCCCCAGCATCACCGGTTTGAAGTCTGCACTCCAGCAGCCACTGTAATTACGCACCACAGATTGCGCCCCAGAACAAAGTGACCCCCCATGGTTCTGGCTGACACCCCACTGGAGAGGCCAGACCATGGGGGACAGCCTGCATGAGGGGGCCCATTAAAGCCAGACCTTCAAAAGCCCTGCCACCACCCGGAGTCCAGCTTAATGAGGAGACACAGGCGAATCTGCAAGGAAAGCGGAGAAGCTTCTGCAAGGTGAGAGATGAGGCCAGCTTTGAACATGCTCAAGACCTTCCCATGGGAACCTGTGCAGTGTCAGTGGGGAACAGAGCGGCACGACACGGTACTGCTCCATGCAAAGGGTGAGCTGCCCCTCAGTGTCATCTGGTGACCATGAGCCCCACACCCAGATCCCACATCATCAGGCAGAGCCTTGCCACTGCCTGGTATCAGCATCTGGGGAAGGACCCCAAGCCCCGGGGTACAGATATGGAGGGATGGAGGCTTGAGAGAGGGTGTCAGCAAGGTGCCCCAGCCCTTAGGAGTGAACACAGTGAGCACCGACATCAGCGCTCCCGCGCCTCATCCCCCCTCCTCCCTCAGGGCTCTCTCGGGGAACCCAGTGCCTCCAGCTTGCCCCAGTGCTCTTTTCCCCGCAGCCACCCAGTAAGGTCAAGCACACGCTGGATGCTGCGTCCATGCCAGCTGCTTTTTCTCACCCTCGAGCAGCATCAACCTGGACCTGGAGGCAACTTGGCACAGCATCCCTGCTGCATCACCAGCTCTCAGCGGGTCCCTGGGCTCTGGAGGGACACTGGTCTCAGCCCAAGGCACTGCTTGTCGCAGCAAGGACAGGGCACATCAGGACAGCGGCTCCAGCCCCAGCAGAGGCTGGGCTCAGCGTGGCGCTGGTCCCAGCAGCCAGAGGAACGGGTGCCACTTTCATTTACTATTACCAGGCAGGGAAGGAGAAGTGGGGGGGGGGAGAGGAGCAGAGACGTGAGCTGGCTGTGAAACGCCCAGACGTCATGCTCCTGACAGAGCAGATTAGGAGCTTTTGAGGCATTTATTAATGTTAGCAGAACAATTTGAAAGAATTTCCAGGGTTTCTTGTGTGACTCCATTGGCCCAACAGCGGGCCAAGCCCCTCCACTCCCTGCACGGTGCTGCTCCCACTGCTAAAGAGGCCCCTTGCCCTCAGCACGGAGTAATTACCTCGGAGATCTCAAATCCATTTTTATTTGTTATTGTTAATCTGAAGATTTTCTGCCTATTTTCCCTGGGTAATTCACCCAGCAGGAGCCCGGGCTCGGGAGTTTCCCTGCTCACAGTGCAGGAGCACCGTCCCAGTGACCCTCAGCAGGCAGGCTGCAGGGAGGGGACCACTTTCGCAGACCCTCTCACCCCCCCGCTGCAGTCTCTGCACCCTCTTTCCCACGCCAAGATGCTCAGCGATGGACGTGGCTGCCTCTCACTGCTCTCACAAGGAGCCTGCACAGACTGGGGTCCAGCTGGACCATCGCACCATGGGTAAGGATGCTGAGACCTGAGACATGCAGTGGGATGTTCCCCAGGCTTTTCTGCACAGTGGTGCGTGGGACCTGGAGCCAGCTTACTATACCCCATCCCACCATGTGAGCCATACAGTTGCCATCCAACCTCATACAAATGAAGGAGCCATCTCCATGAGGGCACCTTGGTGCACGAATAGCTACACAAGCTTGCATTCCCTGCAACACGCACATGGAGCAAATTGCCCATGCCTCTTTGCAGGAAGAGGGCAAAGTTATTTCTTTGATTTCTTAGCAAGCATTTCAAACGAGTGCATAGGAGTCCTATTTAAGCCCACTGCGGTGGGCATTGCACAAAAACAAAGGCATTGTGTGTCTAAGAGCTCTTGCGTTAACTCATGGCATAGGACACGTCTGTGGATATGAGCATCCATCTCGCAGCACTATCACATGCTGTGCTTAGATACGGGGAGGCCGATACTCTCCCAAAACCCAACTGTCCATTTCAGGGAAAGGCTATAGACCAACAGCGAAAGGAAACCGCCACATCTCATGCGACAAGTGCTCCGTCCAGCCCTTGCAGGTGATTTCCTGGCTGCGTCACTTCTCTGGGGGCGATGCTCAGAAAGAGCCCACCCTTGATGCTGGGGGATGAGCGAGACTGCCACAAAGGACCCCTTTCAGCTGAAATGTTTCTCAGAAATCGTGCGGGTTTGGGAGACCACTCTCCTACAGCTGGGCAATTCTGTTTGATGTTATGGACTGTCTGCACATATCAGTCTCAAACCGCAAGCTCCATTTTGTTTTCCTGAGCACCATTTTGTATTTTCCCTATTCTATGCCTTGGCCTTGACTCGGCGTATTGAGCCAAAACACCAGGAGGTGTCAGGGGAAATTCTCACACTGGTGGAAAAAGCTGTCAAGCCTGATTGCCCGTTCAAATGGAAGCACCTAGGAGTGAGCAAGTCCTTTCCCCAGCGCCAACTGGGGTCTTGAGACAAGTCTCACGCAAGGCAAAAGTTGCTTCACGCAATGTTGTGTGAGTAGTGCACATTGCAATCTCATAGATGCAGATTATGCAGGAGTTGAAGACTAGGTGTGTGTGTAAGATATATATGTATAATTTATTTATATGTCTATGTTTATTTTTGTATCTATATCTATATCTGTATCCATATCCATATCTGTACCCATATCTACCAAATTCTAAACGCCGCTTGGGATGAGTGAGGAAGCCGAGGCAGGGACTAGCATCCAGAGAATGCATGTTTTGCCTGGGCCCATATATCTTTTGCCATATATCTGTATCTATAATGAGTGAGCATTCAGAAACCCTTCCCAACACTTGCGCTGGTGGCTGTGGCTCCTGCAGGGATGTCTTACACCCCTACAAACATAGGGATGGGCATCTTTGGGTCTCATATCCAAGCACCGCAGGCTTCAGGAATGGTGCTGTGGGAGCCAGGGCTGCCCAGCCCAGGGGAGCCTGTGGACCTTCAGACCCCCAGAGGTGCATGGTGGGGTGGTGGGACAAGCCAGTGGGTGACACGCTGGGGGATGTGCTGAGCAGTGGGGAACCAAAGACATCTCTGAGCTCCCTCACTCATTGTTAACCCACTGCAATCCTCACTCTAATTACTCTGCCATCTCCCTCCCAGGCAGGGGCTTTGTAGCGCAGGCATGGGGAGGAAGGGTCAGTGGGAGCAGCTCTGTTCCCTTGGGCTTCAGTTCCTCTCCATCATAACTTCAAAGGCCTCCCAAGATTCACAGCAAGGCTTCCCCCCATGCAACAACGCCTTTTGCATTGATAATTAAACTCTTATCAGCACAGTTAGGTGCTCCTGCTCCCTGCTACCCAAAGCATATCGGGCTCAGCCCCTGCAGACCCACAGGGGTCTGCACACCCACCCTGGCCCCACTCAGCCCCACTCAGGAGGAGAATGACAGGGGGAGAGTTATCCGCAGCGGGAAGAGGGAGTCAGGGTATGGGAAAGGAGCAGGCAGAGGCTCCCTGAAAGGAGGGGAACAAGAGCCAGCGGCATTCATTTCCTATAAGCTCAAGCAGGACTTTGAAGGGGCAGGTGGGGCCAGGGTGGGTCAGCTATTTGTGTCCCACCGTTTAATCCAGGGGCATGCTGAATAGCCGGCCACGACCTTTCCAACTCAGGAGGCAAAGCTGAGCAACAAAGCTCTGTCGTTCTGGCCTCGGAGCATCACAGGGGGGACAGGAAGGGGTGTTTCATTTTCAGCTTCCCCTTCCCTGGGACAATATTTATCTTTAAAGAAAGAAAAATAGTCATTTATTCACCAATACACGAGGCCAACTGTTGGGGCGCCAAGGTAAAATCATCGAGCCTGGAGGGCAGGTCAACTCTTCCCGTTCGGGAGCTGTGCACACCGAATGCGCCCCATGGATGTGGGTCAGCAAGGCTGCAGCGGGGCGATGCACACCAGTGCTCTCTGCACGAGCGGCCGGATCTGGGCAGGCTTTGTGGAGCAGCCGCTCGTCCACGAGGATGCACGGACTGCGGACACAGCGGGGATGGAGCTCGCATCGGCACCCGCTGGCCTCAGCTGCCCAGAGAGGAAATCTAGGAAAGCATTGCGGGTAGGTATAAAAGATGTCACCA